TTTTGAGTTATGTTGGCGAGGGATTCTTTTGGAACTAAACATACTTGGGCCCCAATGAAATGTGATCGGAAAGCCGACCTCAATTGTTGCCACTTCCAGATGGAATGAGGGGGTAAAGAGTGATACCATTTTTTAGCTCGGGGCCCCAGAGTGAGAGAAAACATGCGGCACCAGAGTGCATCTGAAGCCCCATGGAGATCCATCCAAGAAGTATAATGATCGAGATGAGAATCGGGATCCGACGTCCCGTCATATAACCAGATTTGTGGGACTTTACCTTTTCCAGGCATGGGCTCCGAGGTGAGCTCAGGTGCCAGAGGAGAATCGACTTCCAAATATACTTGTGCCGAGGTGGATGCTCGGTGAGGGGTGTCTTCTAGCGCTTTTTGCCGACTTTCTAATTCGACAATTTTTTGTCGCAACACTTCTAACTCGGAGGATTCTTGCCGAGCTAAACGATTTTTCTCTATCTGTTGACGAAGATCCGCCCGTGCTGGATATGAGGGGGCTTGAGGTCGCGTATGAGGTGGAGATTGCCGAGGTCGCCCAAATTAACTTTCGGCAGTTTCTTCACGAGGAATTACCAAGGGAGTACGAGTGGCTTCAGTCTGGTGAGCCGTTATTTCTCGATGCGGGTGTGACGTTCGTTTACGAGGTTGAGACATCGCATGTGAAGTGGCCCCATCGCCGCCTTGCCGTGCCGGCAGGATTTGTGGGTTTACCGGTGTTATGGGAATAGCAGAGTGCCCCGGTATAGTCGTCGACGTCCCGGGTATCTTTTGAGCCATTAAGGTAGCGAAACCTCGTGCAAATTTTGGATTTTGGAACAGAGTGGCATAATCAGGCATATTCGGCACCGCCGTGGGGCGTCTGGCGGATTGAGCAGCGCTTCGACTATGGCCATCTCTCGACGCATGACCGCGATGGTCTGATAGAGACATGGTATCACACCAGATGCAGCTGACGAACAACAGATCGACGATTGACCTCAAAAATCTTATGAGGGCCCCCCTTCTCTTGCGCCAAACTGTTGTTGTGTGATAATTAACAACGAGGTTATATGAAATTAGCAAGATGTTTAAATTGATTTGAACGTAAATCATGCGTCAAAACAAGAACAGTGGCCCCGGTCCAAGGTGAACCGAGGTGAAATGGTGTCGGGCTTCTTTGTATATATGTCGAGTATTCAGAGTTCGATCGTTGTACAATAATAAGAATCTACTATTTATATTATCTTTTTGGGCCCGTATATCGAAGTGTACGACTACTTTTTCATAAAGTAACTTTTGGATGGGCGGCCATGTGAGTGGGTCCCATCTTTATGATGATATAATTAGAGGTGTAAGAGGGAGTTGTGTATGCGCCTCGTCACCTACTTCGATTTTGGTGACCTCGGTTTTGAACTACAGGTCAGCCTCGGTGTTTGAGCAAGCCAGGGTCCGGTAATAATTTATTTTGACCTATGATTTGGTACTGCTGATCGAGATTACCAGGTCGGGTGATAATAACTACCTAGCTATATTTTAATTTTTATATGCTTTAAAAAAAACAACATTTATCAATAATTCATCATATTGAAGATTTTATTTTGAAATCAATTTTATAAGTAACTCTAAATTTTAGTTATTTAATTTTTATATGATTTAATAAACCAACATTCATCAATACTTACTCATATTAAAACTTGTATTTTGAAACAACTTTAGAAATAACTCTAAATTTTAGTTAAGACTAAATTTGTGCAACTAACAGTGAAAATTTAAAATTCAAACAAAATATAATATTTTTTCTAAAAAAATATTCTTTAACCTTTCATATTTTTTAAATAATTATCATATTTTTTAAATAATTATTTTATAATAGAAAAAATTCAATTGCACATCTAGTATTACTAAGCATGAAAGTTAAGTGGAGGTTAATAGTTATTATTACTATATTATGTAGGATCAAAGGTACGTGACATAAAAATATATTAATAACACATCTAATGTTATAATTCGGTTCTTAATTTCGGTTCTTCGTTTCGGTACGGTATAGGACGGTTCGGTCAGGTTCTCGGTACGGATATTTGTGAAATCTCCAGAACGGTTCCAATTATTTTTTCGGTTTAGTTCGGTTCGGAGAAGGTCAAACGATCAACGGTTATTTTTCGGTTCAGAGTGATTTCAATTCAGTTTTCGGAACGGTTCAAAATTTTTCGGGTCTCATGCTCAGCCCTAATGAACAGTAATGCCCGCTGCATAACAAGTGATTTCCGGGTAAATTGCACCAAACCCCCCTGTAATATACTAAATCTGCGCGTTTTCCCCCTGTATTTTAAAAATTGCGCCATACCCCCTTGTAATATACTTTTGCATGCACACTCTCCCTGCTACGTTAACGCCGTTACAAATCCCCCTGACGGCGTTACTTTTTGTTCAATTTATCATTATAAAATTCCTTTATCCAAGAATTTACGATTATGCCATTCAAGAATTTTATATAATATTATATATAATATAATATTATTTATATATTATATGTAACAGTTATTATAAATTTTATATATAATATATTATATATTATATATATAATATAAAATATATATATATAATAATCGTAATATATATATTATATTATATATATAATAAATATATTATTTATATATTATATGTAACATATATATATTATATTATAAATATAATAAATATATTATTTATATATTATATGTAACATATATATATTAATCGTAATATATATATTATTTTATGTAACAGTTATTATTTTATATATAAATATATTTTATATTATTTATATATAAATATATAAAATATAAAATATATTTTATATATTATTTATATATTATCGTAATATAAAATATACGTAATATAATATAAAATATAAAATATTATATGTAACAGTAATATTAAAATATATTTTATATATAAATATAAAATATATATTATATTATACTATACGTATTTTAATCGTAATATATATTATATATATATTAATCGTAATATAAAATATATATATATATAATAATCGTAATATATATATATTATTTATATATTACATGTAACAGTTATTATTTATATATTATATATTATTTATAATATTATATAATATATTTATATATATTATATATAATATAATATTATATATATTACAAACTATAATATATTGTAATATATATAATATAATATTATATATATTACAAACTATTTATATTATATGTAACAGTTATAATAAGTACATATTTAGTTATTTACTAGAAAAAGGTAGCAGATGTAGACAGTCACTAGTGTAGAGATATAATTACTTTAGGGGATAAAGCAGTAATTTCAGGCACTTTAGGGTGAAAAAATGAAGAAAAAATCGCACAGCACGCGCGTGCAAACCACTGCCGTCATTTTTGACGGTTTAGGGGGTTTCGTGCATGTAAAAGTATATTACAAGGGGGTATGGCGCAATTTTTAAAATACAGGGGGAAAACGCGCAGATTTCGTATAATACAGGGGAGTTTGGCGCAATTTACCCAGTGATTTCCATTACCACAAAATCATTTGAATAGAATGTGCTAGCAACTTACTTTTAGTAGGAAGTTGTCAAATTTTAACGCATTTTTTAATTATAAAAAATAATAAATAAATATGAAGTTTTTTAATTACTATATAAAGTAAACCATTTGTAATATTATATAATATTATATTGTTTCTATAACACATCAACAAGAAATTTTCAAATAGTTAAAATAATAATAACAACAACAACAACAACAATAACAACAACCATAATAATAATAATAATAATACATAGATTATTGTGATTGAGTACTAAAAGTTGTCTAAGGCCTCCGGCGCCTTAGCGATTTTTGTCTAGGCGGTTATTCTAGGTGCTCCAACAATTCGACGGCGTCTAGGCGGATTAAGTGGTTGGAAATGTACTAGCACCTAGACGGTCTAGGCGTCCTACTGTGTTGGCGGCTTCTAGGCGCCCGTAAAATTTTTCATTCTAAATTTTGATTTATTTTGAAAAAATTAAATCAATTTAATTTTTTCACATGAAAGTTAAATTAATTATATAACAAAAGTGTTGATAATTATTTAACAATTAATACGGTAATTATGAGTACATTGATTTTGTATAATATTTGTGATTGACAATATTAATTAATATATTTTATATAATCTATATCTATATATATATAATTGCTGGCATATAGTATTTAATAAAATATTTAATAAAACCTCTATTGATTTTCCCGCTCATTTTTTCAATTAATGTTGAACCGTTAAATTTTATATTAATAAGTGTAATAATAATTTTAATATAATTTATTCACTAATCACTACTAACACTATTTGATTACAACTGTACATTAAATAGTATGTGGAAGTTACATACTTATAAAAAATTGTATTGCAATTTTTTTCTTTAAAATACTTTTTCTAAAATGAAATATTTTTGTTCTTTTTAAGTGATTTTTATCTAATATTAGTTAATGGGCATGAGTGTCATAATTAAACACCTTAAAATCACATAAACAAATGTTATAACAATGATAAAAATAATTGTAATACTTTTCTAACTAATTAATTGTATGATCCCTCTAAATTACTAAATTATATTAGCCATTAAAATTTATACATCAATATAAAGATTCATACGTAAGTTAAATAAATTATATTTACATTACACATTTGCATGTAGTCAAAATTTAAAATGTAATACATCAATTATCTAATATAAAATTTTTGTATATTGTATATTTAAATATAATTTATAAATTTTTATTTTTCTTTGTGCATGTGCACCGGATGAATACTAATATATCTTATAAATTATGCACATATATAAATAAATTTATTATTATTTTCAACTTTGCCCAGGAAAAAAAAATGAAAAGAAAAGAGAGAAGAAAATAGAGAGAAGAAGCTTGACAAATTTAAATATTTTTGGAACTTTTAAAGTATAAAACCCTAGCAACCGTCTCCGCCTCTCCCGGTACGGCTGTCCCGATGGAAGCCACCAAGTTACCGCCGGAGTCCGCCGCTGCCGAAGATTTTCCGCCTAATCCAGCTGCCTCTAACTCTGTTTCCAAATCAAGCTCCGAGCCCATGGATACCAACGATTCTACCACTGAGCCTCTGGAAACTAACGACATCTCTGTCGAACCGGCGTCGGCACCTCAAAATCCACCAGAATCCCAGCCGCGCAAGAGACGCCGCCGCCGCAAGAAGATATTTACGGATATGATCTCCTCGTCCGCCTCGCGCCTCCGCATCCTCCGCCCCCACCCCAAACCCTCCGCCGCATTGGTCCTCGACGACTCCCTCCACGGCCTCCATCGCAAGCGCAGGGGGCCCACCGATCTTTCGAAGGAGGTAGACATCGAAGCCCTAATCGCTATATCCGTCGGCTTCCCGGTGGATTCCCTCACGGAGGAGGAAATCGAGGCTAACGTCGTCTCCCGCATCGGGGACAGCGAGCAGTCAAATTATATCATCGTGCGCAACCACATCCTCTCCAGGTGGCGCTCCAACGTCTCCGTTTGGCTCACCAAGGACCACGTGCTGGAGTCCATACGGGCCGAGCACAAAAACCTCGTAAATTCCGCCTACAATTTCCTCCTCCACCATGGGTACATCAATTTTGGGGTTTCTCAGGCAATCAAGGACGCCAAGAGCATGTTGCTCGATGAGGCCCCAAAGGGGAGCGTGATCGTTATTGGGGCTGGCCTATCGGGCCTTGTCGCCGCTAGACAGTTGATTTTCCTGGGCTTCAAGGTCATCGTGCTCGAGGGGCGGGCCCGGCCTGGAGGCAGAGTCCGGTCTAAGAAAATGATCGGGAAGGACGAGAGTGTTGTGGGAGCAGCAGATTTAGGGGGGAGCGTGCTGACGGGGATCAATGGGAACCCATTGGGGGTTTTAGCCCGCCAGCTTGGGCTTCCCCTTCACAAGGTAAGAGACATCTGCCCCCTGTACTTGCCCAATGGCAGCACAGTTAATTCTGAGGTTGATTCAAAAGTGGAGGCTTCCTTCAATAAACTGTTGGACAGGGTTTGTAAGCTGAGGCAGGGGATCATGGAGGAGATTAAAAGCGTGGACATTTCTTTAGGAACGGCTTTAGAAGCATTTAGGCGTGTGTACGGAGTAGCCGAGGAGCCTTTAGAACGCATGCTGTTGGATTGGCATTTGGCGAATCTTGAGTACGCCAATGCCACACTGATGTCGAATTTGTCCATGGCCTTCTGGGATCAAGATGACCCGTATGAGATGGGCGGGGATCATTGTTTTATACCTGGAGGCAATGAGAGGCTCGTTCGGGCTTTAGCCGAAGACCTCCCAATTTTTTACGAGCGTCCGGTGGACAGCGTAAGATATGGAAGTGATGGTGTCATGGTCTATGCAGGTGGCCAAGAATACCAAAGTGATATGGTCCTTTGCACGGTTCCACTTGGAGTCCTCAAGAAGGGAGCAATTGATTTCATGCCCGAGCTTCCCCAGCGTAAAACAGATGCAATCGAGAGACTAGGATTCGGGCTATTGAATAAAGTTGCAATATTGTTCCCGTACGATTTCTGGGGTGGGGAAATTGACACTTTTGGACACTTGAACGAGGACCCTAACATGAGGGGAGAATTCTTCCTTTTCTACAGTTATTCGTCGGTGGCTGGTGGGCCCCTCCTCGTGGCCCTTGTGGCTGGAGAAGCCGCCGTTAAATTCGAGAACATGTCTCCGGTGGAGTCCGTGAACCGGGTTCTTGATATTCTCAAGGGTATCTTCAGCCCAAAGGGGATTGCTGTACCAGACCCGGTTCAGGCAGTTTGTACCCGTTGGGGTCAGGATCCATTTTCATACGGATCATATTCGTACGTCGCCATTGGGGCATCGGGCGACGATTATGACATTCTTGCTGAGAACGTGGCCGATCGGGTCTTTTTTGCCGGTGAGGCTACCAACAAGCAGTACCCGGCCACTATGCACGGGGCCTTCCTGAGTGGGATGAGAGAGGCTGCTCATATAATGAGGGTGTCTAGGAGATTAAATGCGTCCACTGTGAAAGGGAATAACTTGAATGTTGAAAAGAATGATTTGGATCCTCTGTTTGAAAATCCAGACCTTGCGATTGGTGGGTTTTCGATTTTGTACGATCCGCAGTCGGCGGATGAGATGGAATCTAATGCTCTGTTGCGGGTAGCGGTTAGGAGGGAGGAATCGGAGTTTGATATCGTGTATCTTTATGGCCTGATTAAGAAGAAGCAGGCAATTGAGCTGAGTGATTTGGACGAAGATGTGAAGAGAATGGAGATGTTGACTGATGGTTTTCGGGTGAGGTTGGTTGGAAGGGATAGCTTGTGTAATGGTGCTGAGTCACTTGTCAGTAGACTCAGATTAGTTAAATCGACGTCAAAGTAGGCTAACTTATGCTTTTTATGTGTTTTGTAAAGTTGAAGAGATTTCCAGATTCAGGTTAGGAGTCAGAAAATTGTGTGTTGTAGAGCATGATTATTAAGATTATCTGAGTATTTCAAATAAAGGTTAGTTTACTGTTCTACTTGTTTAGATACAGTCACATTAATATGAGATGTGGCCTTTTTCGGGGCTCTCGTCTTTTCATGCCATTTATTTTGCAGTCCACATCAGATCAGATGATTCTTTCTTTCTTCGGATTGCAAGAATTTATGCGGTAAACTTAACTTCTTGTTCGTTGTGGAGAGTGAACTTTCTAATTTCTTGAGTTGTCTTTTTTACATGTTTATCGTCGATCTTCTATTGCACTCAGCTGGCAAGATGGTCGATTGATCTTTCACTCAATATATTGCTAATCGGTAATGATGATTATATTAATGGAAAAAATGTCAAATTCAAGAAGTGGCGGGATGTTATTTGTAATCTAGGGGAGATGAAGAATCTAGTTGACAGGATTAGTTTGTCCACATATACTTTTTATGGTGATTATGGAAAACTAAAAAACTCTTATATCTTTAACAAAACTTGGATTGAGGAGAGAGGTTCTTGTAGAAAAAGCAAACAGAGAGTGGCTAGAGTTCAATTCAATTCTATCTCAAGAAGGAAGTGTCTTAGTGGTCAGAGCTTCTTCTACTGAAGCAGGGGAGCTGTAGCAGATGTGAGTAGGACAACTTCGTGCTTAGTGTTAGTGCTCACATGTCGGGAATGCTCTACTTGTACTTGGTGTCGGTGCTCACATGTCTCTGTAAGATATAATCTGCTGTTTTTTCCCGGCAGCTTCTTTGGTAGTGCAGCTGCAACTTCCTTGCAGCTGCAAAGCACTTTCATGGCAGCCATTTTAGGCTGATTTTTCATGACTTTTCAACTTAAGTAATTTCTAGGAAAGTCACTAGGATAGTTGTTTTTAGTTCTTATAAATAGGTATGCAGTTTTTTGTTTTGAAAACACACAGAAAAACTTAATACTCAATACATTGAGTTGTTCATAATCTTCTTCTTTCATCCTAAAAGTGTTCGTTTGTGCCGGAAGCATTTTTTGCTTACCTGAGACTAACAAGTGGTATCAGAGCCATGGCAAGCCAAAATGTTGCATCGATGGTGCAAGGGAGCGGAGCAGATGCTTCACCGCACCAGGAGGTCGTCATCCACAGGACCGTGCGAGACGTTGGCGGGGCCAACTGGCCGGTCCTCACACGCACAAACTACGGCGAATGGGCGGTGCTGATGAAGGTCAAGTTGCGTGCGCGCAAGCTTTGGCGGGCCATCGAGGAAGGCACCGAGGATGAAGAAGAGGACTGCGCAGTGATGGAAGCGATTCTGTCCGTTGTGCCTCACGAGTACGTGGAGTCGCTGGGCGCAAAGGACTCCGCAAAGGCTGCTTGGGACGCCCTCAAGGCCATGCGCATCGGGTCTGATCGCGCAAAGAAGGCGAAGGCGCAGCAGTTGCGGCGGGAGTACGAGGCGCTGGCATTCCGTGACGGCGAGGCAGTGGAGGATTTCTCGCTCCGTTTGCAGTCGCTCGTCAGTCAGCTAGCGGCGCACGGCGTCACCATCACCGATGAGGAGGCGGTCGCGAAATACTTGCGCGTCGTGCCGCCTAAG